TGGTGGTCAGAACATGAGGAACTGTATTTAAAGGGCCAGAAGGTTGAGAACCACTGCTTTAACCAAAAGTCTGTGAAGTGTTTTCACCTGCCTCATCTCATTTGATACGGAAGTCCTGGAGTATGTAGATAGGAGACTCAGTGGAATCCTATTTTCTTTTCATCAGCTGGAAAATGGAGATTTAGAAAGTTTAGAAACTTGACCCTACTGAAAAGAAGTAAGAAATGACGGAACTTGAAAAATGACTTCAGGTTTTCTCACTGCACAGAATACAGTCAAACACTGCTGCAGATAAATATTTCACCCTTTATTCTGTCTGTGTGATCTACAATAATGATGTGCTTTGTGTTGATATTTACTGCTGTGTTGCTGACAATTACCTGAAAGAGAAGTTGGGGTGCTTCACTGGTCTGGAAAAAGTTTAGCTAAATCAGAAAGCAGGTCTAATTAAGCAAGTTTATTTATCTATAAAGCTCTTGCTGGCGCCAATCGCAAGCATATGTTTCCATCTGTCATTGTCGATCGTGAATTTGGTTGACACTTCTATTTTAGAGAAAGGGTGAATAGCAATATTAAAATATTTCTTCTAATTAATTTCCTTTCAGTGTGCACGAATTCGTGCACTGGGCCTCTAATGTGAAATATAAAAACAATTTTTTAAAAAATAAAATAAATAAAAATAAAATTTTAATTTAATTCAATTTTAATAATTTATTAAATTAAATAAATTATTAAATACAATAAATAAAAATATAAATGTTAAAATGTATAAACATTCTTTCTACAAAAGCAGTATTCCTCTCAGCTGAGAGTTTTTGTCTCTCAGTTTGCTTTTTGAAATCTTGCCACTGACAAGATAGGGTGGTCAGTACTGCCGTTTAAAAGAATCAGAAGAAACAGATTCAGCTGAGTGATCTTAAAGCCATACCTTGGAGATATTGCAGGTTTCCTTTCAGTTCACTGCAACGAAGTGAATATTGTAGTCAAAAAGGAGTCACGTGAATTTTGTGTTTCCCTGCGCAAATAAAAGCTTACAGTAGTATGTTAAATGTGCAGTAGTATTGTCCAAAAAAACACACAGTATATACCTTAATTAAAGATACTTTATTGTTAAAAACCACTAACCATTACCTGAGACTTCAGTGGGTAATAATCATTTTGCTGGTGGAGGGTCTTGCCTCAATGTTGATGAGCTTTCTTCACAATATCTGTGAAGAGCATTTGTAAAATGAAGTGCAATAAAATGAGGCATGCCTATATAAAATTTTTTTTTATATATACAACATTTTTAAAGGTAATTTTAAAAATACCTTTTCTAAAGCAGTGTTCTAGTTTAGAAGCCAGGGTTATTTAAAAATAAAAGTACAGTCAGCTTATGAATGACTCTATTATAAACCCCAGTCATAATCATGTTATTGGTGTTCAAAATAGGGAGAGAATGCTAATTCTTCTCGAAACTTCCCAGACTCTCATCATTAGAGACAACACATAGACCTCAACCAGCTACTGATAACAAGCCCGTGATAGCATTAGGAAGGTTATATTATAGGTCAGTGATGGCTACCCTTTTGAGCTTGGCGTGTCAGCATTTTGAAAAACCCTAACTTAACTCTGGTGCCGTGTCACATATAGAAATTTTTTGATATTTGCAACCATAGTAAAACAAAGACTTATATTTTTGATATTTATTTTATATATTTAAATGCCATTTAAGAAAGAAAAATCAACCAAAAAAATGAGTTCACGTGTCACCCCTGACGCGCGTGTCATAGGTTCGCCATCATTGCTATAGGTGCACAGCACATGCATGTGTGTGGGAGTGGGATGTTAGAATCAGGACAGTTATTCTCAGTGGTTTGGTGTCTTAATATTTCAGAGGAGAGAGTTAGGGTTTGTGAGGGTCTTTTAGACAGCAGAACAAATGGTGGCAGCACCAAAAAGATTTTAAAACATTACCTTATCAAAGGTTCCAAGTCCTGTCTTCACAAGACTGTTAGCACTTTTACAGACTAAGGTGATTTGACTGTATCTAATATAACTACATTTGGTTTTTTACATTGCTCAGTGTACTTTTGTGTGAGATTTTATGTTTTTGCTTTGGTTTTTATATTTTGTTTCTTATAAATAGCTGTATAAAGAGGGAACTTTTAAGCAAACAATTATTACAGTTTATTCTGTGTATTTTTTAAAAATATATTTTTATTTCAGAGAGGAAAGGAGAGGGAGAGAGAGATAGAAACATCAATGATGAGAGAGAATCATTGATTGGCTGCCTCCTGCACGCCCCCCACTGGAGATTGAGCCCATAACCTGGGCATGTGCCCTTGACCGGAATTGAACTCAGGACCCTTCAGTCCACAGGCCAATGCTCTATCCACTGAGCCAAACTGGCCAGGGCTATTCTGCTGTGTATTTATTATATCCCATTACCAAAGACTGAAGGACTTCTTATGAGTGGAGGAGGTTTTGTTGAAATTAAAGGTCCCATGTGCCTCTAGAGCAGCAGTTCTCAACTTGTGGGTCGAGACCCCTTTGGGAGTCGAACAACCCTTTCACAGGGGTCGCCTACGCCCATTGGAAAACACATACATAATTACATATTGTTTTTGTGATTAATCACTATGCTTTAATTATGTTCAATTTGTAACAATGAAAATACATCCTGCATATCAGATATTTACATGACGATTCACAACAGTAGAAAAATTAGTTATGAAGTAGCAACAAAAATAATTTTATGGTTGGGGGTCACCACAACATGAGGAACTGTATTAAAGGGTGGTGGCATTAGGATGGTTGAGAACCAGTGCTCTAGAGTAAAAAAGAAACACACATACTTCTTCTGGGCCGAAACTCATTCCAGCATTCAGTAATTCCCATAATTACACTCTTAACCAGATTAGTATATCAAAGTGTTTTAAACACACTAACAGAAAATGGCAGTATTGCCCTGGAGTCTGCTGGGTGATATCTTTTCAAATTCTGCTTCTACCACTTAACTAGATTTTGAAATACAGGGACATTAAAGCACACACAACTTCTAGTGACTTAAAGTTGTACCGATTTCTATCACCAGGGGGCACCCCAGTGTTGTTGATAGAAAAAGGGAAGGCATCCTGTGTCTGGGATTCTGCTAAACTTCTGTGGCTGCAGAGGAACATGACTCCGATTTGTGGCTTATTCAGATGCACCTTTCTGCTCCTTATGTTCGCGCCAGCGGTAAATGCTAGAGCACTTGGTGCGAGTGTTTGAATGGTGTGAATGGTCTTTGCACTTCAGGTGCAAAGCCGGTGTAGCACATCTCTGGGTATGGAATGCTTTCTCCTTTTGTGTCAGTGTGAAGATTACTGGGGTGCCCCGCATGGTGGAAATATGTGCAGCTCCTAATCCTGAAAGCCGTCATTTGCTTTTGAATAACTCCACATTTTCTCAGCTTCTTATTTGTCATTAATTCTCTGGGGAGAGAACTTACTCTTGGAGCGATACGCTTTTATCTCTGATTATTGACTTGACTTCCTAAGAGTTAGTTGGAGAAATCCGTTGAGGAAGCCACTTAAGCAGTAGCTCTCAGCAGTACTGGGCATGGGGGTGCACCTGAGCGCCTCTGAGTGTTTGCAGGCTCTGGGACCCCGCGCAGGCAGGGCCATCGGATTGCCAGAGCTGCAGCAAGCAGAGCTTGAGAAGCATTATGTTATTTGTTATTTTGTTCTACTTCCCTTCCCATCTAACTTTCTTATCTCAAACATACGCATTTGAAACATTTTCAGCTCTTAGGTATTATGGAATAGCTGGGAAGAAGAAAAATTTGATGTCTTTATAATACCTTTCTGTAGACACTTGCCATTTTGCTTGATCTTTCCCAAACAAGGAATGTGATTTCTAGCTATTAATTTGGTCATTTAAAGCATCGTATTAAAAAGGAAGCCACAGTTCCCAGGCTGTTCTTTCCCAGGGGGGCTTTCTCTATCCCCTACCCACAGGCCTGGCTGTGCTGACATGTAGTGATAGTGAACACAAAGTGCTGACGTTCACTAAGTCATCTTTACCAGTGGACAAAGATAGGTGGCTGTGGTGTTTATGGGCAGTCATCAGCATCCTGTGAAACAAAGGATATCGCATAAGCATTTTATTGAAACTGATTTACTTGTCAATTGTAGTTTTGGGGTTTTTTTTGCCTCATTTTTGTATCTATTTAATAACGTATTTTAAAGTATTCCTGTGATATTTTTTTCTTAAATGAAGATGATTTACTTTTACTGTCTTTCCATGTGTATTTGGTAAAAATGTCATGAAAAGTTACAGGGATAAAGAGTTTTAATGAAGTGCTTTAATGAAGTAGCATGTGTTGGGTTTTAACATTTTGTTGAATTAAAATTTTTCTGATTCCCCATGCAGCTTCCTCCATACAATGGATCAGTTCTGTGTGGCACACAGGCTGCAGATGAACTACCTGATGGTAAGCTTGTTCTTTATTTCCCTAATGTGGATTCTGGCCATACGTGCTGGGCGGGCAGGTCACCTGGAAACAGTGTTTTCCTCTTTGTTCTTGCTTTTTTAAAAAAATATGTTTTTTAGATACAGAGGCAGAGCTGCCTCGAGCAGACTGTCAAACTACAGCAGGAAGGCCGGGGAGGGTGGGAGGGCAGGAGGGGGGTGGGTAAGAGAGAGAGGAAAGGAGAGGGAGAGAGAGATAGAAACATCAATGATGAGAGAGAATCATTGACTGGTTGCCCCCTGCATGCTCCCGACTGAGGATCAAGCCCACAACTCAGACATGTGCTCTTGACTGGAATCAAACCCGGGACATTTCAGTCCCCAGGCCGACACTCTGTATGCACTGAGCCAAACCAGCCAGGGCTGTTCGTGCTTTTTGAATAAACATTCCCTTATAGCTTGATGTTTTGGCCGTAAACTGTAGTAGATTTAATCACTGAACCACTTTGACTAGTGTATTTAAGTTTATTCTATGCTTCATAGTGTCAGACATTCAAGGTTTAGTTAAGGAAGTAGTAGTTCAGTTCTTTTTTTCCATTAGCAGTTCATCGTAGCCAATGCTTTTTGTCAGAGTTCTTTCAGTCTGGTGCAGAGGCTGCTGGGCCCTGAGCTGGCAAATCTCTGAGCATGTGCTCTTGGCATGGCTCAGTGGCAGTTTGAATCTGTTCCTGCAGTTTTACATTTATGACCTTGTTTGTCCCAAATGTTCTTGGGGATTCAGGTAACCCCTTTACCTTCTGACTTGTTACTTGTTTTTGATGTCTGTCATAGACAATGAGCTTCTTTCTGAAGATGGTGCTTGCTGAGATGCAGCGGTTTTGTATTAAGTGCCTGGTGTTCAAATAACAGCAGGGCCCGTATTGCAGGCTACCACCGCACAGTTCAAATTTGTCTAGACCATTTTTCAGTTTGGTTCATGTCAGAGGCCCTGGCTGGCTTTGGAGAAGCTGAATGCTAGACCTTTTCTTTGGTTCCCTGTTTTGTTAACATGATCAGACCTGTGAAAGGGGTTTTAATTATAATTTAGGTTTAAATGTAAACATTGAAAAGCCTACCTAAACTCTTTATAGTAAAACCAGAAAGTGGTTATATCTAAAATTATCAGCAATTTTATAAGAAACAATGATACGGGAAACCTTAAGGGGAAGGGCAGTTCTAATGATGGCTTAGGTTGAGAATAAAATAAATGAAGCTAGAGGGACCCAAAGGCCCTTGCCCTGCTGCCCAGCCTCTGCAGCAGTGTTTTTATCTGTCAGTTGGATTTCTCTGTGTCTGTGTACTTTGCACATAGTGAGCATGCTGCCGATGTTTACTCAGTGCTTTAAATTGTTTCATTCTTTTCTTTTTTATATATATATTTTTATTGATTTTTTACAGAGAGGAAGGGAGAGGGATAGAGAGTTAGAAACATCAATGAGAGAGAAACATTGACCAGCTGCCTCCTACACACTCCCCACTGGGATGTGCCTGTAACCAAGGTACGTGCCCTTGACCGGAACCGAACCTGGGACCCTCGAGTCCGCAGGCCAACGCTCAATCCACTGAGCCAAACCGGTTAGGGCTGTTTGATTATTTTCCTTTCGTATTAAACCTTTCTCTGTAGTTCAGTTAGTGCCCCCACCATCTTCACAGTGGCATAGCATAGGCTAGAGATCCGGAGGCTTCACTGTGAGTGCTGCAGTGAGCAGACTTGGAGAAACGCCATGTGAGGATTGTTTTCTTTGAGCTGCGTTTCCTTCTCCCAACAAACCCACAGCATGTCTGACCTGAGCATTGAGTTCCCATGTGCCCGTTATATTGACTGGGTTGTTCAAAGAATTAGTTAGCAAGGCTTCTACCAGTCTTTCAGTGTAACAGGGCTTTGTGCTAACCTCTCTGCCTTTCAGTGCAGTGTACGTGTGTTCCATGCTGAGAATTCCTGGGTAAGAAAAGGAACTGTTGCCCTGGTCAGGGGGCTCGTTTGGAGCATCGTCCTGTATACCCAAAGGTTGTGGCTGTGGGCTTGGTTCCCAGTCAGGGCACATACCTAGGTTGTGGGTTCCATCCCCAGCCAGAGCATGTACAGTGGGCAACTGATCAATGTTTCTCTCTCTCTCATTGGTGGCTTTATATGTAAACTTACTATTAGTGTAATTATTGTCAGTAGTCATTTTTCAGGAACTTTTTATTGTTTTGCAGCCCTCCCCCTCACTCCCCCCCCATCCCAACCCCAAGGAAGGGGTGTTTTGTTAAAACAAAAGAAGAATTAGCAGACTAGGCCCTGCCCCACACTTACTTGCACACAGGCTTCTCTCTGGGACTGTTTTTAAGCCTTCTATAAAAAGACTTCCAATATATTTAGTACTCTGTAATGGAACACAATTCTTTTGGTATATATTATAATTTATTTTCCTTGAAATACATGCCTTGAAAAAAGTTGGCCTCTTATGCTAGACTTGGAGAAATCTTCAGTTATACACTAAAAATGAATTATAAGGCATGTGCTCTTTTCTTAACTGCAAAATTTATTTACAACTTTATTTTATCAGTTATAAGCTTACATTGATGCTTGGTGTCTGTTAAAAGACACAATTGATTCTAAACCTAATTTCAGAGATAAGAACTATGAAAAAGAACGCACATCTTGGATGGAATATCTAGGATGTCAGCTGGGAAGAAGTATTGAAAGGCTCCAAAGAGATTTTTATCTTTTGGTAATTTTGGAGATACCTTCACCTCTCATGGACTTAATCCAATGTGAATTTATTTAGTGGACAATTAATGTGCATTCATGCAAGGCTATTTTCGACTTCAATTAAGATTATCAGTGGGGGAGATCAGGAGATTGATAATTTTAAAAAGTGCTTTGGAAATATACCTTTATGTAGAGGATGAATTCTTGGTATAGTTTATGCTTTTTGAATTATTAACTTACACTAACTAGAGAAGCCATATATATAGCAATGATTTTAAGTCTCTAAGTTTGTCGTTGTGATTTCCTTTTATTTACTTATTTTTTTAAATTCTCACCTGATGACATGCCCGGGGGTGAGTGCGGGGGATGGTATTGATGTGAAAGAGAAACATTGATCAGTTGCCTTCCGTGGGGATTGAACCTGCAACTCAGGTATGTTCCCTGAACGGGAATCGAGCTGATGACCTTTTGGTGCACAGGATGATGCTGAACAAACTGAGCAACTCTGGCTGGGCGTGATTTTCTTTTAATTGTCTAAAAAGCTTATACCTTACTCTCGGCATAATGAAAGCTAGTCGAGTCAGATTTCATTGAGGGGTGTTTTTAGACAGGCAGAATCTTACTTGCTTTATATTAAAATTTTAATTTCTACCTTTTGGAAGTCTCCATTAGCTACCCTGAGAATAGAAGATAAATTCAAGCTGTTTTTCATATCCCTAAATTAAATATGATCTTATAGTTATTTAGCAAATTATTTATTCAGCAGAGAAATAAAATGTCAACTTTGTTCATTAGAAGAAGACTTTAGTGTTTCAG